GTTTTGTATTAAGATATCACATATCAAAAAAGCAAGTGAACTTCAAATCATGAAAAGTAAAAAAGTCTAGTTAAATATATACATTTTAAAAGTATTATACGGTCATAAACATGCTTAAATATATTTTGACCAATTACTTTTAATAGCTGGTATTTACCCCAAAAAAAAAGTACATTAAAAGACGATTAAAAAAAATGGTTTGTAAGTTGACTTCTTCTTGGTAGTTTATAAATGATGCAGGCTTATTTTTCTCTTACTGTATTGACATACACGTGTTAGTTTATGAACATCAGTACATCTGCTGTCTCTTGGTAACCGAATGTCATTGTTAATTTATAATTTCCCATCCACCCGCCATTCCTGTGGTGAAAAGAGCATTTCCCTAGCAAAAACACCAAGAATGAGTCTATGGACACCTCATTTCCCTATCATTTCATTAACAAAGAAACGCAAAATTGACCTTGTCTGATACTTGCATTTCCCTATCATTTCCTTTGTAGAGGCAGACAGAGTTGACCTTCTCTGACACCCGTATTTCCCTATCACTTCCTCATTGAAGATAGGCAGAGTTGACCTTGTATGACTCCCGCATTTCCCTATCATTTCCTTAGTGGAGACAGATAGATATAACCTAGTCTGACACCATGATTCTCTAATAACTTATGAGTTAATGGATCTCGTCGACAGCATTTTTTTCTATTGTCTAAATAGAAAGTAGATTGTCTGTTTGTCCCATATCATTTCCACATTGAAAGAAAGAATCTTGCTTATAACTTTTTCTCGGAGAATAACGAGCTTGAAATGAAAACTGTGTCCCAGACTAAAAAAAGGGCACGATTTGTTACGTTGATGAGTAAAGTTACAGTCGACTTATAGATCGCACCTGTTTTTATCTAAGATAAAATTCAAGAATGTTTTGGTATGGTAAAGGAAGTTCCTTCAGATGAGAATTTTTAAAGAGGTGAATTTTTTTTGTTTGTTTCTATATTAAAAGTACCTTTGCCATTTCCCGTTGTAATAAAACTACGTTGTTTTCTACATTTATAGGTCAGTTTCCATGCAGTAAGCACTAAAGTTAAGTGTTAGAAGTTGAATGAAATTGATGACGTATTTTTGTTGAAAGTGAATTAATACAACGTAATCTGTATATCATACGCTACAACGCTTTAGCTTGCTCTTTGCGACATTTGGCGATCATAATTTGTTTCAATGGCACAAATAGATAAGTTGAAATATCATCAGCGCTAATAATTTATCGGGCAGATTATCTTTTCCATTTGTTTGTTGTTATATAGATATTCTAACCCATCATTACACAATATTTTTTACTGTGTTTGTATCGTCCTTTCAAGCAGGTAGCAGTTAAATTTATATATTATTTTAATGACACGTTTTGCCACTAGATGCCCTTGTTGAATCATTTTCTGTAACTTTTACTATTAGTTATTTTATGTTCATTGTATATCGATAGATAGGTAGGGTTATTTGTGTTTATACGGTTATTCAAATCAACATTTCTCGTGAAATTCAATCAATGACTTGCATACTTTTCTTCAAGTTTACGGCCGTCTGTATGAGCTACTGAGAAAGGCAATCAGTTGCTGGTAACTTTTGCTGCAAGCATAATTTCTCAAAGAATGTAACCTATAAAAGTAGCGGTCAATAATTTACCAACACTAGGTGAAATATAACACAAGTTCATTTACTGAATTACTTGTAATTTAGACGAGAAGTTTCAATGTCTGAAAGTCTTCAGTCTCTTACAGAATTGTTTGTTTGTTCGTTTTTGAATTTCGCGCAAAGCTACACCAGGACCATCAGCGCTAGCCGTCCCTAATTTAGCAGTGTAAGACTAGAGGGAAGGCAGCTAGTCATTACCACCCACCGCCAGCTCTTGGGCTACTCTTTTACCAACGAACAGTGGGATTGACCGTCACATTATAACGTCCCCACGGCTGAAAGGGCGAGCATGTTTGGTGTGACGGGGATACATAATTGATATTTATTACTTTACGTAAACTATAGGGGAGACGTACGAGGCCAAAGGTTTTAAAACCTTAACCTTTAACCTTTATCTCCTGACCTTTCAATCCTTAATCTATTGCAATTACAGAAAGGTATATATATATATATCGTTGTTCTCCAATTTTAAATTGAATTAATGATGAAAAGGAACCTACTTCAAGTAAATATACATACAGTATAGACGGCTGATATGGGTACTAACTACTTTTATTTAAAACACAAAATAAGTAACAATGTTTCGACATCTTTAAGTCATCATCATGTTAAAATGGTGATGAACTAAGGAGGTCAAAACGTTGTTACGTATTTTGTGTTTTAAATAAAAGTTTTTAATACCCATATTAGCCGTCTCTATTACATATATACATTTAAATTGAATCGTTTTTGAGTCACAACGTTAAAAATTAAATAATCAGCAGGTAAAAGTAAAGTAAATGTTACACCCCCAACATTTCTGTTATTTGTAGATTAAGTTAGGGTTGCTTGAAAATGTTTGTTTGTTTGTAGTGGAACTTATCCAATGAATTTATACAGTAATGAGACCGGAGAGACATACTTTTATCAAATAAGACGGATGATCTTTTAACTAGTGTGTCCACCCAGTGGGTCAGCGGAAAGTTTACGGACAACGCTAAACATCCGGGGTTCGATTCCCGGCGGGGGGGGGGGTAGGGAGCACAGATAGCCCATTATGTAGCTTTGCAGTAAAACAGAATGCACTAAAACTGACGTTCAAAAAATAAGCACAGTACAGATAAGCTATAGAACGAGACACGTGAATAATCTACGTAAAACTTACTGTAACAGAAGTAACCAGTATAAACATGC